GAAAAAGGCCAGGGGCCAACTGTGGAACCAACTATCAACTGCTCATATGCAAGTTCAAGGTGAAGTTGAAGAAAATTAAAACAAGTCCACGAGAGCCAATATACAACTTTGAGTATATCCCACCAGAATTCAGAGACCATCTCAAGAACAGATTTGACACATTGAACATTAATGACCTAAGACTAGACGAGTTGTGGGATGACATCAAGGACATCATACGTGAAGAAAAAAAGAGGTCATTAAAAAGACAGGAAAGAAAGAAAAGACCAAAATGGATGTCAGAAAAGACTCTGAAAGTTGCTCTTAAACTTTGAGTAGCTAAAGCAAAAGGAAGAAATGATTAAGTAAAAGAGCTGAACAGAAGATTTCCAGAGGCAGCTCCAGAAGACAAAGTAAATATTATAATTACTTGTGCAAAGACCTGGAGTTAGAAAACCAAAAATGGAGAAAATGCTCTGCATTTCTCAAGCTGAAAGAACTGAAGAAAAAATTCAAGGTTCAAGTTGCAATATTGAAGGATTCTATGGGCAAAATATTGAATGAAGCAGGATTCTTCTAAACAAGATGGAAGGAGTACACAGAGTCACTGTAACAAAAAGACTTGGTCAACAGTCAACCATTTCAGGAGGTAGTACATAATCAAGAACTGATGATACTGAAGAAAGAAGTCCAGGCTGCACTGAAGGCACTGGCAAAAAACAAGGCTCCAGGAATTGACAGAATACCAATTGACACGTTTTACAAACCGGTGTAATGTTAGAGGTGCTCTCCCATCTATGCCAAGAAATTTGGAAGACAGCAACCTGGCTAAACGACTGGAAGAGATCCATAGTTGTGCCCATTCCAAAGAAAGGTGATCCAACAGAATGCAGACATTATCAAACAATATCATTAATATCACACACAAGTAAAAGGTTACTGAAGATCATTCAAAGGCAATTGCAGCAGTACATAGACAGGGAAATGCCAGAAATTCAAGCCAGATTCAGAAGAGGACATGGAACAAGAGCTATCCTTGCTGATGTCAGGTGGATCTTGGCTGAAAGCAGAGAATATTGGAAAGATGTTTACCTGTGTTTTATTGACTATGCATAGGCATTCCACTGTGTGGATAACAAAATATGGACAACATTTCAAAGAATGGGAATTCAAGAACACTTAATTGTGCTCATGCAGAACCTGTACATATACCAAGAGGCAGTCGTTAAAACAGAAAAAGGGGATATAGTGTGGTGTAAAATCAGGAAAGGTGTGCATCAGGGTTATATCCTTTTATCATACTTATTCAATCTGTATGTTGAGCAAATAATCCGGGAAGCTGGACTGTATGAAGAAGTAGGTGACCTCAGGATTGGAGGAAGACTCATTAAGAATCTGCCATATGCAGATGACACAACCTTGCTTGCTGAAAGTGAAGAGGACTTGAAGCACTCACTGATGAAGATGAAAGACTAAAGCCTTCAATATGAATTATGCCTCAGCATAAAGAAAACAAAAATCCTTACAACTGGACCAATAAGCAACATCATGATAAATGGAGAAAATATTGAAGTTGTGAAGGGTTTCATTTTACTTGGATTCACAATCAACACCTATGGAAGCAACAGTCAAGAAATCAAACGACACATTGCACTGGTCAAATCTGCTGCAAAAGACCTCTTCAAAGTATCAAAAAGCAGAAATGTCACTTTGAGAATTAAGGTGCACCTGACCCAAGCCATGGTATTTTCAGTAGTCTTATATGCATGTGAAAGCTGGACAACAAATAAGGAAGACCGGGGAATTGATGCCTTTGAATTATGGTGTTGACAAAGAATATTGAATATACTATGAACTGCCAAAAGAATGAGCAAATCTGTCTTGGAAGAAGTACAGCCAGAATGCTCCTTAGAAGCAAGGATGGTGAGACTTTGTCTCACTTACTTTGGACATGTTATCAGGAGGGACCACTCCCTGGAGAAGGATATCATGCTTGGTAGACAGTCAGTGAAAAAGAGGAAGACCCTCAACAAAATGGCTTGACACAGTGGCTGCAACAATGGGCTCAAGCATAACAACGACTGTGGGGATGGTGCTGGACTGGGCAGTGTTTCATTCTGCTGTGCAAAGGGTTGTTATGAGTCAGAACCGACTCTAGGCCACCTAACAGCAACAACAATAAGCTCACTCCACTTATCCTTAATCTGAGGAGAAAAAGCAGCCCTGCAATTTAGAGGTTGCCTCCTAGCTACCCAAGTGAAGTCAGACTTCCAGATATTCTTATAATTAGTTTATGAATGTCTACCCACCCTGCACACAGTGAAGACTGGGTGACCTATGACTAGAGTCAGTATATATTTATATATTTAAATGTGGAGTTTACTTTCATTTGGTACGCTGTCCTCTAAGAAGTAGAATCCCTAGATCTGGAAACTCTTCTTTTGTGCTTGTTTTCATCAAAGCTGCTCAATTTTGTAGATTGTAAACGTCAGCGAGGGTTAGTGTCACTGCACCATACACAGATGCATGGGAATGTAACCCACTTAACATGATCTATTGCACAAGGCAGATAGGAGACTAGACATCTGGAAAGGTTCCCAAAAATGAGAACTCAATTGTTAAAAAATCTTCAAAGTATAAACATCAATGTAATTAAATCCGTCAGACATATTATTGGCTTTTAATGTACATAATTAAAAAAACAGACCAGGCAATTTGAAGGAAACAAAACTTAGTGGAGTTGAGTCTGTGCTCTTGGATGTCATTTCTGCTTTCTGTTATAAAAGTAGATTCTTCATAATCTTAACAAACTGTTTCAATAACACAGTTCCACTTTACAGAAACTTTGCTTTATGCACGCAGAACTCTGGGTGTAAACTCTGGGTAAACATGAAGCACTATGAATCTCAAAATATTCATTTCAAAACATATTGATTGAATATCTTCTCATGCATAGTCCTGAGTAATAAGCATTATTTTCCTAGCTCCTGGAGAAGGTTACCAAAGGAAATCCTAAGAGTTAGAAATTATAAAAGGTGAGAAGATGGGGGTGGGCTAAACACAGAAAGGAGAATAATTCTTTCCACGAAGCCCCGTATGACAATCGTTTTCCAAGCCCTGCGAGAGGGTCTAAAACTGCCATCACACTAATACAGCAATTCTCTTACTTTAGCAACTTCGCTTTGCTTGTGGTAGCTGTAACTGTGCCTTTCTCTGGCAGCTGCAAAATCTCAGAACAAATGCTAGTGACTCCTGGAATATTTTTCTCAGCTGGACTATTTTAAATTAGGGGTGGAAAGCAAAGAATATTCGTGAAATGAGGCTCTAATAAATTTATCTCCCCTTTGTATTCTCAGAGCACAATAGCTCACGAGAACCCCAGGTTTAACATTGCTAACTGACACCTTCAGGTGAAATGATTTTTATATTTCCCAGGAACAGTAAATGGTAGTTGAGCTGTACTGACCATTTTGTCAGTGCAGAATGAAGACCCCAGCACACTGTTTACTACTTTGTCCCCTCATAAATCTTAGAAATGTTTTATATCTTCTGATGCTGGTCACTTTGGAGCTATTTGGGGATCTGAGAATACCAGCACATTTTCCAATTGGGATCAACTGAGGAGTTGCCAGTCTCCTTTGGTGGTGCTGCCGCTATTATTAATACCTCCAAAGACTCAGAGATGAATTACTATGTTATTTTCCAAAAGGACAGGTAATATGACTGGGCAATACAGATTTCTTCCCCAAATAAGCCATTAAACTCGAGGATAGCCTGTTATTTCTTTTTTCAACATTTTGCCCCACTCCAGCACATTACAACTTTGTGAATTGAGCTTATTGATAGGTGGGCACTCCTTTTGAGACATTTTGAAGCGTACAATATAGAAAAAAATTGTTATATTGCTTCAAGACGTGACATTTAAAGTCATTTGCTGTGGACTTGGTATCTGTGCCAAATTTTGTATCATGCTAGCAGATTCAGAGAATTAATATTCTTCTCTGCTAGCAGAGTCTTTCACTTGTCCAGACATAAGCTACTTTGTAAGAGATAATTTAAGGTTAAGGTCAGGGTTCTTTCCTACAATCTTGGAGCCCCATTCATTCTCCAGGCAAAATGAAAAAAATCAAGTTCAAAGTTTGAATTCATTTAGAGTGGAGGGAGGATGTAAAAATGCTTTATGATAAAAATGTTTGCATAAATACTAGTTGGAATAAATAAAATTCCCTTGCAGGAAAAAGAAGCAAGAAAGACTACACCTTAGAGAGTCTCTTCACTTTTCAGCAATGGCCGAACAGGTCAGGTGTTGGGAAGGTTCTACAGAGTGTGCAGCCATCGTAACTAAAAGCTCTACCACTCGGTGGGTTTCTCATTAATTAGGCTCTTACGTTCATGGTCAATGCCAAAACAACTGAAAGGGCAAGTTATAAAGCTAAGGCGCGCGCGCACACGGAAACTTGCACACAGATACACACACCTTGTTGATATTTTAAAGAATACAGCCAATTCCTTCAACACCACAAAGAGACTTAAAATACTCTATTCCTCCGTTAACGCCTTATAATTAGCCCAAAGGAGCTGCTTTCTACTCAAATGCACCAAGTACCCAAACAAGCCAAAAAGAAAATTTAAAACCTCCCGTTCAAGTTATCTGCCTGTAGCTTCGCTCTCTTTGCCAGTAGAGCCGCCTGCCTCAGACTGGTTCCCTAGCGAGACCGGAGAGCAATCCGCTCCCACCAGCGGGAGGTGAACTGAGCCGTGCTAGACGTGCGCGGCCCATGTGCGCCCAGGGCGCAGAGCCCGCGCTCCTCACGCGCTGCTGGTTTCGGGTCCGGGGGCAGACTCACATCCAGAGTCACCTCTAGCAACCACAGCCCGACCCCCGAGGCGAGGCTTCTCAGAAGAAGGAGCCGGGCCTGGAGGGTCGCGGGGTCTCTTGTCGCCTGCCCAGACCCCAGGTCGGGCCGGCCGCCCCCCTCGGGGCTCCTGCTCTCCTCCCTGTCTCGCCCCGCCCTGCTCACCTCAGGCTCCACATGTAGCTGTGCTTGTAGGGGAAGTAGCTGCCCGGCTCGCTGCAGCAGTACTTGAGGTCGGCGAAGCCGCAGCAGAAGAGGAGCGTGGCCCCGTCGCCGCGCCGGGGGCACTGGAAGGGCTCCACGAAGCTGTGGTTGAGGCTGTAGTAGCCAGAGCAGACCCGGCTGGCCTCGCTCATCTTGGATGGCTGCGGGCAGAGGCCCGCGAAGCCCCGGATCTGCCCTCGGACACACAGGTCCCGTACCCCAGCTCCCGCGAAACTCTCTGCCCCGGCTCGCCACTCGAAATCTGGGGTCGACTGCCTGGGCGTTCAGCCTTCGCGCGCTGCCTCTTCTCTCTCTCCTCCCCCTGTCCACATGGTGTCTGGTTGCTCTTCCTTCTCCCTCTCGCTATAAGAGGTCCTTTAATCTGCCCATTTCGGGCCCAGTACCTCTCCTCTGGCTCCCTGCGTCTGGCTTCTTCGCTCTGTCCTCATTCTGCTCCCCTTTGCCTTGCTTGATCAACAACCCGGGGGACCATAGCTGTTCGCGCTCCATGCCAGAGAGAGATTTCACCGAACGGAAAAAGTGGAGGTGTAAAACATGTTTACAATCTGCACACGTGCAGCCAGAGTTGCAGTTCTGTTTGCCCTGAGACAGGACAGGTGGGTTCCAGGCAAATAGAGCAGGGCTGGGGAGACTTCCCCCACGACCGGCCATCGACCCAAGAGTGGACGTGGTAGGGTGGGGCAGAATGAAAAAGCAGCTGATTTACTAGTGAGGAGTGTTAGAGTTTTCTTTTTCTTCTCTTTTCTTTTTTTAGAAGTATTTGTGAAACATTAAAATCTGTCAAATTTAAAACCAAAGATAAAAAACAAAATCTTCGCCAAAAACTGCCATGGGTATTTTTAAAACAGGCTACAGTTGTATTCACTGTGCGGTTAAAGAACGTGAAAAGGATAGCAAAGGAAAAGATGTCAGTAGAGACCACAAGAACTTTTTGGACAGGGAGGTAGAACGAGGAGGCAGAGGAAATAGGGAAAAAGATCTTAAATCTGTTTTGAAGAGTTGCAGAAACTACTCTTACCCTCTTTTTGCTTGGTGTTCTCGTTGTAGTGATTCATTTGTTCACAAAGTATTTTCAAATAAGTATAGTAATGCGTGCAGCCCTGGTGGCACAGTGGTTGTTGAGAGCTTGGCTGCTAACCAAAAGGTCAGCAGTTTGAATCTACCAGCTGTTGCTTGGGAAACTCTTTCAGGCAGTTCTACTCTGTCCAGTAGGGTCACTATGAGTGGGAATTGACTCCACCGGCAACCGGGTAACAGGCTAGTAATGCATGCTTGTTGTAATGAGTCAAACAATTCTCAGTTGTGTAAAGAAGAAAATAATAGGCTTAAGATAGGAGACAGTGTTTACAACATTCCTAGGGTTTCTGAGGTAGATAAAGTACTGTTCTTTCCTCTTCTTTTTTCTGCTTCCTTCCCTTGACCCAAGGGATTGCTTGGATGCCAGGCATGGTGAATTTTACCTTGCCAGTGCTGGATGTTTTTTTATTTCTGTAAATAATCTTGAGCTTTGGTCTAGGATGCAGTTAAGTTACTTGGATACAATTTAATTCTTTCAGACTTGCTTTTAAGCTTTGTTAGGCAGGACCGAATCAGTCTTTAGGGCTGAATTTTCCCTCACTACTGAGGAGTACCTTTCTGAGTATTCTACTCCATATACCCTGTGAATTACAAGGTTTACTGCTCTAAGTGATGAAAATGCAAGTTATTCCCAGCCTTGTGTGAGCTCAAAGGATTTAGTTTTCACTATTGCTCTGTATTAGGTGGTTCTTTCACTGGCCCCATGTAGTTTCCTCACAGGCACACAATAATCAGAATTCAGCTGACGGCTCAGTAGTACACTTGTTCATTCTCATTCTCTCTATCTCTCTGTCTCTATCTCTGTCTCTCTCTTTCTCTGTAGCTCTCTCTTCTGTGGTACTCTGTTCTCCTTAGGACAGACACAGCTGCGTCTCCTTAACTCAGGGAGCAAACTGGGCTCCACCTGGGTACTCCTTCCTGTACTGTGCCCTGGAAACTCCAGGCAATAAGATGAGACAATCATAAGGCTCTCTCTCTCAGGGATGCTGTCTTTCGCCACCTGATATCCATGTCCCCAAACCATTGTTTATATATTTTGTTTGTATAGTTGTTTCAGGTAGAAGGGTAAATCCAGTCTCTGTTACCCCATTTGGCTGGAAATGGCCAGGGAATTAGACATGATCCAAGCTAGATCAATTGAGTTCTTTCTTCTGGAAGTGGGATTCTATCATGTGGATAGGAAACCACAAGAAGCTAGTGTACAGGAAAGAGAAAAATGAAGCAAACACAGACAGGAATAGAAAAGAAGGATGAAAAAGAGTGCCGATGACGTTGCAGTTCTTGTTCAAGTCTTTTCCTGAGGGCCACGGTGTTCCTACCGTTGAGTTTCTTGAGATACCTCTAATTTCCTTAGAGTAAAATCCCCTCTTCTAACTAAAGCACATTCAAGTTGGATTCTATAGCTTACAGCCAAATGGCTTCTAACTCATAAAGCACATCTTCAGGAAAAAGTGATGAGTAGAGGCAGTTGAAAGGCAATTAATCAATAGAGCAAGTTCTCTTGAAAGGGGGAGAAATAGCCAGAACAAGTGGACTTTTCTTCCTGTTGTGCAAGAAAAAAAGAAATTTTGAAATGAAAAGGAAGGAAGTTCTTCTGGACAATGATATTGGTCGTCTCAGTAAAACGTAAACAAATCTTTTATGGAGCATGAGACAATGAGGTGGAATTTGAGTGCTTGAAAAGAATGGAAAAGATTTAGAGTAAAACCCTGTGAAGAACTTGTCTGGGTCTCAGTCAGAGTGGAACAAAATGATTTGGTACATCCAGAATCCAGTTATGGTTAGAAATCACAGCTTTCTGGTGGAACTATCTTGTTGGTTTATGTAATCTTCACCAACAAAAACTGTTCAATGGTTCAGGAACAGGAGCAAGGCAACAAACATTGGGATTTGTCAGAATGATCCCCTGGGGCAGTGTACTACTGCCTCTGCAATCATAGTATCACCTCCAGCTCTTTCCAACCCAAAATATACACAAAATACATACAAAAACACACAGAGAGAAAGGCATACAATACCTACAGCTGGCAGACTCTCCCAAGCTTGGAGTACCCTGAGGCCTCTGAAGTTCAAGCAAAGGAGCCTTTTAACAAGTGAGGCTTAAGGGAAGTGTCAAGACTGTGGCTGTTAACAATACCAGTTCAGAAAATGCATTTTACTTGCTTGATCTTGCCTGCTGTGTGGTCCCATGTGATCATGTACCTGGCTCTCCTGGCAGGAGGAGGGCTGGCAGCGAATGGGATGGAGCTGGCCCAAATGGCAGCGAATGGGATGGGGCTGGCCCAAACACCAAAAGATAGCCACACCTTGCACCTTTTATTTTCTTCTCTTTTTGTATATCAGTGGTTCTCAGCAAAGGTGGTACTGCCCTTTAGGGACTATTTGGAAATTTAAGGGGCATTTTTGGGTGACATAATGACTGGGTACCCTACTGGCATTTAGGGATGTATGCCAGGGATGCTAGACACCCTGACATCCTGTACAGGAAAATGAGGAACTGTCTGTGAATTTCAAATGTTCCATAGGACATCCAGGCAGATGAAAACCAATATTTATCATCATCTGAACCTGGAACCTATCTCTGTGTTACAAAGAAACACATTTCTTGAAATTTCCAGGAATGCAACTACCATGTAAATTGAGGGAAGATTGTTCTTTGTTTTGCTTGGAACTTTACCAAGAGGTTTTCACTATTGCAGAAAATCATGTACCAATGGCAATGTTGCTTGAAGTTTTCCCAATACTGCACACCATCTGAATTTATACTGTCACTCCATAGTGATTTGTAGCTGTTGCAAGCACAGTATTGGCAAAAGCATGAAGTCTTTTGGTATAGTTGTGCTTGAGCATTTACATATGAAAATACGTATTTCATTGTTATTTATTTTTATAATAAAGGCATTATGTATAATTTGGTACATAGAAGTCATGCTATATTTGAATTTTATTTCAAGAAAATTACAGAAATATTTCTTATAAAGTGGCAACATTATGTCAGATAGGGTTGAGAACTACTGCTGTAATTTATCAGTAGGAAAATGATAAATAGTATGTCTCATAGGTGAGTGCTGCCCCCTGCTTCTAATCTCTAGCCCAGTAGGGTTTACCTGGAATTGTCATGATAGAACATGTGGAGAGAGTTTAGGTGCAAGAAGTATCTGGCTATGGGGAAAAAGCAAGGTAAGGGGCCAAATTAAGCTGACTTAGCTATAGAAATTATGAAATGGCCAGATGACCACTTTGTCAAAAACCTTCCTAAACCATCTATAATAAGTGCCGCTTTACTTTTCCAGTTTTTCTCTTGTTCATCCTCACATGCTCTCATGCTCTAGAGAGTCAGTCTTCTTCCTGCCTCAGAAACATCTCCAAGTACTTTTTCCATCTAAGAAATGCCATGTAACTTTCTTCTTTCTTTCCAGATGGTATCCAGTTTTCAAAGCCCAGCTACAGACCTTTCTTACCGTGTAGCCTTCCCTTAATCTTCCTGAAACTTCCTCGAAACTGGTAGAGTTTAGCAATTAGTAGATAGAGCAGAATGTGAACAGACGTTCATGAAGAGACCATGAGGAAACAGAGACCATGAAAAAGCTGAAATTATAGGTTACAAGTTGTAAGGAAGCAGAAAACATATGAATAAACATAAATAAACAAACCATATCATGCCTATGCTTACCACATCCATTCCTCCCATCCTTCTTTCTAATGTTACCCACATTTCAGTTCTTCCACACACTTCCCCTGTGCTTCAGAATTGGCTGACCCTACCCCAGCATCAGGGATGGCCCCTGATTGACTTAAGCCAATAATCAGCAAATGCCATTTTCCTGGCTGCAATAATTGGTGCAAGGGTTAAGCATATGGTTTGAAATGCTAGGACAGAAGTGGAAGACAGGCCTGGAGATCTACTTCTAAAAGCTCACAGCCTTGAATACTCTATGGAGCAATTCTACTCTGTACACTTGGAGTTGCCATGAGTCAGAATTGACTCGATAGCAACTAACAAGAACAATTAACCTTTATATTTTTATAGTATATATTTGATATGTGTGTATAC